CTGAATATGATTTTGATTTAATGTAAAATGTAAAGAAGTACTTCTAGCACCTAAGTAAATTAGTATAATATGTTCCATAAAAGTAATTTCCTCCAAAAGCAATTTTAATTTGCTAAGACAAAAAAAAAGAACAAAACCTTTTCTTACTGCCACAACCACCATCTTAAAAAAAAAATACTAAAAATGCAAATAACAGCCTATTTCCAGGTGTTACTTAAATAGTTATCTGTGTTAAGCATTCTTCTCTAAGAAAAAGCACTGGCAAACAAACAAAATCAAAGCCGAAACACAGAATTCTTGCATGAGTTTTAAATTTATTTTTGTTCTGGAAATTTTATGTTTACTTAAAACCTTGTATGTAATAGAAACATAATCCATCGAGCCTTTGGATAAACAACATTTTCAGAGTTTACTCATAATGTATTCTTCAAATTATCCCACACAAAACTGCTTAGAAAGAATGTGTTAAACTATATTGATGATTTAAAAACAAGCACAACAACATAAAGAATCTTTCTCTATTTCAGGAGAAATGATTACTGTGAAGTTATCATTTTAAAATCTTTGATGTCAATTCTGGGTGAACCAGGATGGTCGCTTTCTGTCTCGTTCAATGATCCTCTTGCCCTGATCTTGTTCAGATGGCTTCTCTCCCGAGTACAGCACCACAGTCTCCATGGTGGGAGCCTTAAAAGGGCCCCCTTCTTGTTTCCCTATCTGTCGTCTGATTTCTGCAGTCTCCTTGCGCACCTTCTCATAGCAGTAGCCACAAAGGACATGTTTCAGTTTCAGGTGACCACATTCAGGACAAACGTCTATATTGTTCTTTAAAACAACAAACAAAAACATAGTTTAACAAGAGGCAATATAATGAACAAATAATCATTGACAGGAGCAATGCTTGTATTTTAACTTTCTTAGAATGTTCAGGCTACATGGTCATCATACACAGTCTAGTTCCACCTCACTTTAACAGGAAGACTGAAGACAAGCAACACTGAGTTTGAATTAGTGAAAAACTAGAACTAGAATTCAGTCAACTTGAATCTAGTACATTTTTACTTAAACATAGCAGCTGTAGTTATATAAAAACAAGCAAACAAAAAACTCATTTCCTCTAACTCCAAATACTAAATATCAAATAAGGAATTCACCAACATAATGAAATGATCCATACAATCAGCATCTTAAATAAGACACCAAAGAAAACTGACTTCCCTTTATCTTTCAATCTATCTTGGGGAAAACAAGATGATAAGAACGTTACAAGTTGACTTTCTTGGCTTCCCCTTTTTATCAGAGTGTAATTCAAATTCCTTTTTATCAGAGTGTAATTCAAATTCCTTTTTATCAGAGTGTAATTCAAATTCCTGTATAGAATACAGGTTTGGCATATGGTACAATTTTTCTTTTTAAAAATGAACACTGAATATTCCTTAATGTAAAATTCTTTTATATGTTACATTTTAAGGGTATTTTGATGAGTTTTTATATATATCTATCTAACTTTAACTATAAAATAATTATAACCTCTAAAAGACTTACCAACTGCAGGTTTGAAAGGAAATACAAAGAAAAATAGTAAACAGGAACATTAAAGAATCTTTAAACACTTGACAAGATTAATATACTAACATTTGTGAGGCAGATAACGAAAGAATTCATTTTCTGAAAGGAAGAAAGAGGCTTGCCACTTTTACTCACTTAACCATATTCTCATTTCACTCCACTCTATTGGAAACTGGATTGCATGTACAACGGAAGGTATGAAGGCACCCACAGTCAGGTGGTCTTCTTTTCATGATCAAAGTACCCAACATAATACACTGCATCTTATTATATAGCATACACTATGTTACATAGTACACACTGTGTTACAGAAAATCACTCAAGGAAGAAAACAAATGCACAGTATAAGAACTATTCCCTCAGAATAAATGCAATCAGGGAAGTCATGTAATAGATCAGTGCAAGATCTCATTCCTAAAATCCTACGTCCTCCTGAGCAAATTTATGAATTATTGTAAGTCTTAAGTAATAAAGTGTTTTTCAGTTCTACATTTAAGTTCAACCCAAACATGGTACTCTGTAATACTTTTTGGCTTCAGTTCTAACGTTTTGCCTAACAGACTGTGGAAGCTTATGAAAGTCAGTTTTCTGTTCTTGAGTTTCATCTTGAGTTTCAACAGTGCCAACAGGTAGCACTGTTAAAGCCATCCATTAACAGATCAGAGATAATTCACACTGTCATTTTTCTTTTTACTAGATCAATGAAGCCAGTACATCCATGTTGTCAGAGAGGAGAATCTGGAATTGTCTGAGGACAGGAGAACACAAAGAAAAATTTCAAAAGAACATGAGCTCAAAAACCTACTGCTTAATAGCTGTGTGACCACAGGCAAATTCTCTTTGCCTCAGTTTCTTCATCCTAAAAATGAAGCATTCATATTTGCTTTGGAGGGCTATTGTGAAGACACAGAGATATAATAAACTTAAGGCACTGAGATACATCACAGACACTTAATAGATGATACCTATTTTATTACTTATCTTCGGGTTTTCCTTCACAGTTTTTTTTTTGGAAACGATTAAAAAATAATTATGTAAGTGTTTGTAAAACCCAAGAGTCAATATACCTACTGCTTCTAGCTTTAATTCTAGGCTCTGCATAGTTAGGATGTTTACTCATCTGTAGTTCAAAACTCACACAGCTCAAGACTGACACAGTTCACAATTCAAGTCACACAGGCACTTCACAGCCTCATTCCTTGTCCAGTCTCCAAACTCACACCTTCCTTGACTATGTTTCTAACATTTAAGCTAGGAAACAGCAGGCATACATAATGAAGATATTGCATTTCATTTAGGCCAGAGGAAGGCAGACACATATGACCTGAGAATAATTTATTCCTAGGCTTTAGGAATCTACCATGAGCTTATTCAATGGAGGGCTTGAGGAAAAGCATACCCACAAAAATTAATGCGTTACCTTAACTTTAATAAGCTTCTTAGGGTTTCTTCTCCTACATCGGTTAACTTCAATGGTGCGTCTGCTTTTGGGAGCTGCCATCCAAAAGATACTATCTAAAAGGCCAGAATTCTCTTTACTTCCACTGGTGTCATTTGCTGGCTCTGTAAATATGTCTGGGCCCTGTACTGCTAATGCTGGTCCTAGGAAATAAAATGTAAGAGATATAGAATTGGTTTCTAGCTTCTAAATTTCCATTTACGGATATCATTTTCCTTAACAATCAATGGTCAAACACACACACACACACAAAGATGACATATGAAATTTAGAATGTGAAACTCAATAATGGGAAACCTTAGCTATTAAAAATACACTAAAGCTTATACAATACAATTTTAAAGAACACAGCATTTTTTCTTAGTGGATCCTGCTGAAATGAGATCAGTGAAATTCCATCAAGTTTCTTACCTCTAAAATACAGGGTTCTGATAGGCACCTAACTTGAACAAAACAAGCAAAGAATCACTCAACTCTCCACAATCTATTAATACTTGGTAGGCAGTAAATTCCTGATTAATTTACAAGTAAATCTAGATAGATTTCCTGAATATACTTCTGACCAGCACTGAGGTAACTGTTGATTGGCCCTTATATTTAAACTGAGTCAGGCCCTTTATCATACAATCCCTTAAGTGACTTAGTTCCTCATAATATTTAATCTTGATTCCTGTCTGCTCTCTAAAATAAGAGCCAGTTCTTCATTTCTCTGTATGGCCTTATTTATGGGACTATCAAAGTTTCTTTTTCTGAATTGCTTATAAAATCAAGAGATTCCTTTACCCTTTCTTTGCTATTCCTTAAACGTGCCATACTTCTTTTGATCTTAAGAACTCTTAAAAATACACAAAGCTCTCTACCACTTAACAATTGGCATTTCTTTTCAATGTCCAAAAGTATTGCCAAGCATAGCCTGGTGGTTAACAACACAGGCTCAGGGCTGTCTGTGAACTCGGGACCATTGTGAGCCTACTGCTTCAGCGGGAAAGTGTAGACACCTAAATAGGTCCCTGAACTCCTTTACAGCATTTCCTAGAAAGGGCTTATAATTGTAAATACGTATCCTTTGCAGCTAACTCGAAAGCGTTTCTCTCAAGGCCCTGAGAGCCATTCCTTTGAAATCTAATCATTAGGAAGGGCCTCTGTCTCCTAGTCTCTGCAGGAGGACAGAATCCTACCTTCGAGAACTGCGAGCTAGCAGACACAACCGGCTAATCACATTTGCACTGACTTCACTGTACTGCTTTGACTCTACTGAGCCCCCACACTCCCGCCTCGCACATTCTCCCTGCCCAAGTCACCTCTGCACAAACCGGGATGGAGCTCAGCTTTTTACCTGCAGTAGTTACTGAATAAAATCTGTTTTCAGCGCTTTAATTACTGGCTGGCTATGATTTATCTTTGACACAAACTTGGATTACATTCTGTGTGCGAACAGATCAAGCAGAGGATTTTTTTCTTTTTTTGGCGGTGGAGGGAGGGCAAAAACAGCCGTTGTGTTCTCGCTAATATGTGAATGTCAGGAACAACGTCCCCGACACACGGCCGCGGATCAGAACCCGGGCTGAGGGCGAAGAGTGTGAGTTGCGTCTGATACTGGCTGCCCGGGGTCGCGTCATTAGGCCCTTCTCCCACGGAGCCCTTCTTTACTTACCCCAAGGAGGACTAGGAAAGCCCGGCCAGCCCTGCGGAAGCTTCCGCAGTAGTCGCTCCCAGTGGTTTCGAAGCAAACCCCGGGCCGCAGGCCACGGCGGAACCACCACCAACAGCAAGGCCAGCGCCATTTTCCCCGCCGGAAGACCGCCCCTCTCTCCCGCGGGCCCCGGGATTCCCGTTCCGCCCCTGCTTTCAGCCTGCGCACAGGCACAGAATCGGGCAAGCCTCCCCTCCTAGAACTACAACACCCAGCATGCTCTTGGAGCAGCTCTGACTCTCCTCCAATCACAGAGAGAAAAGGAAAGGCGAGGGGCGGGGAAATGAAAGAAAATCGGCCACAGTGCGCATGTGTGCGGGTGTGCTTTGGCTCTTCGGGTAAAGATGGCGGAGCGCGGGTACAGCTTTTCGCTGACTACATTCAGGTATGGAAGGGGCCCTCGAGGTCCTTAGCGTAGCCGAGGTTGCAGGAGCTCCGTCGACTTGGTTTTTCCTACCCTGACGTCGGAATTGGTGCTTCTGGAGGGTCCAGTAGGGAATGGAGGTGGAAAAGCCGCTTTGCAAAGTCACTTGCCAGGCTGGCCCAGGATTCCGGGAGCTTCCATGGTCGGAGGCTGCTGGAGGGTCTGGGGGATGCGGTTCTGCGGGGTTAATTTGGGGCTGCGGGACGGTGAGGCACATTTCCAAGGATTTGCTTTCACTTTGGAGACTAGAAAAGAAGGCAGTTTTAGATTAATCATCTCTGGGTGGCCCGTTCGGTACCCAGGATTTTTTTCCTGTCCCAAGTAGACCTGATGCGGTGGTTTCTGAAACTCGGAATCTTGGTCAAATATGCGGGGTCCCCTTTTCTTGGAAAACTGTCAGCTTTACAGTTAAGTCGGAGTCTTGGCCTCCATTTGGCACTAGTGTCTTTTAAAACCTCGCGCTTTCGGTTTCTGCGATGTACCAATTAGAAACGTAAGGACTAAAAACCGAAAGCGCTTGTCTGTCACTTTTTTGTGAACGCCTAACAATGAGGCAACAGTTTACGTTTGGGTCTTTTTTTGAGGGGGGGAATGTGGGGCGGGATGTTTACGTTGAACAAGATCGTAGACTTTTCTGTTGTAGAACAGGGGATTAGAATAAGTTTACTTTCCAAAATATAGTTGAAGCGAACCATGGCTCCCAGTGTGAGAAAACCATCACCGAAGACTTTTAAAAGTTGACTGGGGAAATTTCCTGATTTAACCATTTTTCTGAGGACCAGTAATGCCCAGTTTACTTCAAATGTACGCCTGACAACTGAAGGCAGGAGGGATCTAACTTGTTGAGTACTTTCTGTGTAGGTGCAACTTAACCTTAACCTATTCCATCTCTTTCCACTGCTATAATGAATATTATCTCAGCTTCTTACAGATAAACCAACCAGCTTTCACAAAGTAAATAACTTGTCCATGGTCATCGATGAGTAGCTGAGTTGACATTCAAACTGGGTTTTTTTTTTTTTTCTGATAACGAAACTAATTCACTTTCCATTTCATGTCTTAAATTCCAAAAGTGCTTTTTTGTTAGCAGTTTTCGGTAAGGAGTGAGTGCATGTAATACGTTTTTTTGTAACCTTTGAACAAGATTAATTATGCAATAAAAGGTCTCATATGACAATAGTGTGTGCAGGGTGTAGTCACTTCATATTTGTGAAGGAAACAAATGTGCTCCCTTTTTTAGAGACAGACTTGGCAGCCTCGGCTCTTGGGCTCAAGGGATCATCCTGCCTCAGTATTTTTTTTTTTCTTTTCTTTTTTTCTTTTTTTTAAACACGGGGTCTTGCTGTGTTGCATAGCCTGCAAACGTGGTCTTTTATCTCGAAGAAAGTGTAATTCTAGTGGAGCGGAAACATAAAACAACCATATACTTTCAGGGACTGAGTCTTTTTTTTTTTTTTTATAAGAGATTTCTTTATTAAAATAAACTTTTGGCCAGACCGGGTGACTCACATCCGTAATCCCAGCTACTTGGGAGGCTGAGGCAGGAGGATTACGTTAGCCCAGGAGTTCAAGACTAGCCTGGGTAACACAGGAAGACCCTATCTCTGAAAAAATTTTAAAATTAGCCAGGCGTATGCCTGTAATCCAAGCTGTTTGGGTGACTGAGGGCAAGAGGAGCGAGCCCAAGAATTTAGGATGCAATGAGCTGTGATTCTGCCACTGCACTACAGCCTGGGTCACAAAGCAGTACCCCATATCGAAAAAAATTTTTTTTGAAAACGAAACTTAAGTTTTTAACATAGTGGATTCAACCGTTTTAGATAAAAAGAAAATATTTGTTTCTAGCCTGTTGTAATCAGAATTGAACTAAAGATGGAAGGGACTAGAGACCATACAGGATGAAACAGTTCTTGTGGACTGCGTTTGGTTGGGGCATTGACAATAAATGAGTAAACAAATTGGTGCCTGCTAATAAATTCTCTTACTAAGGAATTTTATTTTTAAAAGGGTGGAGGAAAGAATATGACTTTAGGTTGAGTAGTCAGGAAAGCTTGTTCTTGGGGGTGATTTTTGAGACTGGAAGGTTAAAAATAGCCAGCTATTTGGAAGATTTAGGAATAAGGAGAGTTGTAGACAGAGGGAAAGCATGTATAAAAGCCCTGAAATGGGAAAGGAGCTTGAGCTCTTAAAGGCACTGAAATGAGGCAAATGTGCTATAGTGAGCAAGGAGGTAATGTGGGAGATGCCTAAATGTACGAGGCTTTGTAGGCCAGAGAAGGAGATTTTATTTTAAGTGAACAAAGAAGTTATTACAGACTCTTTAAGTGGAGGTGACATGGTACAAAGCTGACTTTGGCTGAGGGTGGAAGTAAGGTTGAGAAGGAGGAAAACCACTTAGAAGGCTATTTCAGTTACTCCATGTAGGGATGCTGATGCTATGGAATGGGATAGTGGCATTATGGAACATAAAATGGTTGATTGCTCACCCAGCTCACAGGTTTGTGACCTTTCACGCAGAAAGATGCAGTGGTAAAGATAGGTATGTACAGGTACATACCACTGCATCGAGAAAAGGTAACTATTAAGTTTACATGAGACTTTAAATGTTACCCACGGGTATATGAACTGGTATTGAACAGTAATTGAAGGCTGGATGGACCCAAAAAGTCATGATATGATTATTGAAATAATGACTATTGAAGAAAAAAAAGTTCAGCCTAATTTTTAAATTTAAATGTCTGTTGATGTTATTTTGCTCAAATTAACTAATTAGATCAAGAGTCTTAGAGCTGTCACCCATAGGTCTGTTTCTCTAATTGGTCTAGATGTGTCTCTATCAGCCAAATGATTGTGGATTTTTTTTTTTTTTTCAGTTTGCTTATCATTAGCATGATTGTGGATTGTTGATACTAGGTTATGTGCTGGAATCCTGACTGAACAGAGCTAACTGTATTGAGGAAGACAAATATTATAAAAATAATAAAGAGGCTGAAGCAGGAGGACTGTTTGAGGCCAGGAATTTGAGGCCAGCCTGGGCAACATAATGAGACCCTGTTTCTAAAAAAAATAATAATAATTCACATATGATGAATCTTAGGCAAAGAGGAAGTACAGGACATCACAGGCTTCAGTGAATAGGTATTCAGCTTACTGTGAGGGGTCAGGGCAGTTTCCCTGAGGACATGATTGAAGGATTGTCAGAGGAGTTCACAGTACAATAGAGAAATGCATTTCAGACAGAGGGATTAGCTTGTCAATGAGGTTTTTGAAGTCTGAGAGTAGTCTATGTGTTTGGAGCAAGGAGAGATGGAATTGAGTTTTGAGTGACAAAGGGAATATCTGTAATTATATAAAAAGAAAACATGGCCTTCTGAAATTTGTCTTTTCAATAATAGACAGGAGATAAGGATCTAGCTGTGTCACTTTGAACAAATTAGTTTCACTCAGACTTTTTGTTTATTTATGAAATTAGGTTGGTTTATGATGATTCTAATTAAACAACTAGGTAACTAGGTTGAAATAAAATATAACTCTACACACTTGATCTTAGCCAAAAGGCCGAGAAGCGATAACTCTAAAAGGCCAGTTTGAGACTAGTGTTTAGCTACCAAACCCATGGAACCAGATCTGTTAAGTATGACGATCTTGTGGCTCCTAGAAATAGTTGTATATTATATAGAAAATACTTCATTGTGAGTGATATCTAGGTCTTATGTCTTAGGCCATGTCTGCTTTTTTAAACCACCCCCCTCGCACATAAAATATATGCTGCTGTTTGGTTTTTAACAGACACATACATGTTCTTAATAACATTACTATTCAGTATGTGCTTGTTACTGATTTTGTGCCAGACAGTTTTACGGGAATGATTTCACTTCATCACAACAATGCTTTGAAATAGGTACATTCGTCTCTGCTTATCCTCAGGGAATTGATTCCAGGAGTCCTGTAGGGGGTGGTGATTTCAGGACCCCCACAAATACCAAGTCAAGGTGTACTCAAGTCCTGTAGTCAGTGCTGTGGAATCCACTGATAGGGAAAGCCAGTGTAGTTACCGTGTCCCCATTTTATAGGCGAGAAAACTGATACAGACAACTTAAGTGGTGAAAAGAGGCGTCAGTAATGCCACCGCTCCATGTGGCTGACAAAAAACAACCAAAGAGAAAGTAGTGCTTCAGTAGTAGTGTGTTCCAGTTGCCTTGTAAACTTGGTTTCTTTTTTTGGGATGAAGTTTCGCTCTTGTTGCCCAGGCTGGAATGCAATGGCATGGATCCTGGCTCACTGCAACCTCCACCTCCCAGGTTCAAGCAATTCTCCTTCCTCAGCCTCCCAAGTAGCTGGGATTACAGACATGTACCACCACACCTGGCTAATTTTTGTATTTTTAGTAGAGATAGGGCTTCACCATGTTAGGTTGGTCTTGAACTCCTGACCTCTGGTGATTCACCTGCCTTGGCCTTCCAAAGTGCTGGGATTACAGGTGTGAGTCACTGTGCCCAGCCGTAAACTTGGTTTCTGTGCCACCTCATGATAGACGTCAAAGGGCAGCTGTTCCCTGGGGTTGGATTAATAGGATTTGACCTGTATACCTGTCCCGTCTCAGAGATGTTCCTGCAATAAATATTCGATGATATGTAAACTTAACAGATACCTGTGTTTCTTTTAAGCCCATCTGGTAAACTTGTCCAGATTGAATATGCTTTGGCTGCTGTAGCTGGAGGAGCCCCGTCAGTGGGAATTAAAGGTAATTAAATGCTTCATTCATTTCAGATGCCTGTTAGTAGTTATCCTAATTATTTTGGAATTAATTAGTAATTAATTTATACAGAGCTGTGACACTGTAATTTTTAACAATTTTTTGTTAATTTACAGTGTTTTGTAATTTAAATAGTAATAAGCCTAAGGTCATTCAAATTTTTTTTCAAAGTAAATAATAACATCTTTATCTGTTGTGATATCCACAGTAGTCTTTACCACTCAGAAAACGGAGTCTTTTTTTTGTTTTCCCACTGATTATATCACTAGTGGCTGGCAGTTTTTAGCCTTATAATTTAGGAAAGATGTTTTAAGTGTTTCACCTTAAAAGTCTGTATCATTTATTGTAAATTTCATGTTATAAGAATAGTGGGAAAAGGAGGCAGAAATCCATTGTTTTAAAATGTATAAACTCTCAGGGGTATCCTCAGAGTGCTTTGTGAAAGGTTATGTAATGCCTTTAGCTGTAGGGTTTTTTTGTGTGTATAGTAGTAAATGACCAGTGAGGGAAAAACTGACTTATCCTTAGCTAATTTGGTAATAGGAATCTGGAAGAAAAGGTTTTATAAATAAGAGAAAATAAAGAAGTTTGAGTTTAGTGCATTCATAATTAGAAAGCTATTAAAACAGTCGTATAAATGATTAAACATTTAGGTCTCTCTCTCTTTTTTTAAGCTGCAAATGGTGTGGTATTAGCAACTGAGAAAAAACAGAAATCCATTCTGTATGATGAGCGAAGTGTACACAAAGTAGAACCAATTACCAAGCACATAGGTTTGGTGTACAGTGGCATGGGCCCAGATTACAGGTACTTTATACTTTTTATAGTGTTTCTCGCCATCTCATGAATTGATTGTAATCTGTATTTTCAGGAGAAAAATCAATGTTGATTTTCCAATTCTAATTTTTTTGTGTGCTTTGTTTAGGAATAGCAGCCTCATTGAGAGCTGAATTTAGTTTGCCTGTGTGGGTTACCTTAAAGAGAATAACTCATGTGAAAGCGGAGGTAGATAGAGTACATAACTCCTCTTTTCTCTGTTTAGTGGACTTTTCCTTCTGACATATTCCTCTTTTACTACCCAGGAATTGGGCATAAGGGTTTTAGTTTTCTTCAGTGCAGTTTAAAAATGACAAAAAGCAATACATTTTATAGTAAACTATATTTTTGAAAGTATGAGGCAACAAGAGAAACCATCACCATCAGTAGAACCTTATCTTTTTTCCCTGTTCTTCACAAAGGGACAGAATTCTCAAACACCACTGCAAGTGGTTGAGGATGGCAGCCAACCAGGATCCAGATGCTCATATAATCACCCCCTTTATATTTCACAGGAAGAGAGAATAATCTTGTTACCCAGGATACCAGCAAGTTGAAAGAGATTGATAGCTTTCTGTGTCTGTCATTTAAATAAAAGGAGTATTACTTTATTGCTAATGATTTTGTGGAGCAAGATAGGTAGAGCCAGAATTTCACTTTAATGAATCATAAAATGCAACAAGATCACTGGAATGTGATCAGACAGTGAATCTTGTCACCACTATATAGGATGGATACTACAGTGTGCTGCCACTGATACGATAAACTGAGGGGTGGGACATGACTGTCTCACAGAGGGATAATGTGCATATTTCAGATCAGTAGCATACAGGCAGGTAAAGATAAATCCTGTTTGTTTTGCTAATATATTTGATTGTTGTGTAATATTTTCTTAATCTCTTTTGACAAATTTTACTTTTGAAAAAAATTTTAAGAGACAGGGTCTTCCTGTGTTGCCCAGGCTGGTCTCAAACTTCTGGTCTCAAGTGATCTTCGTGCCTCAGCCTTGTAAAGTGTTGGGAATACAGGCATGAGCCACTGCACCCAGCTGAATTTTACATTTTTAGTTACAAGTAGTTTCTTATTTCTCAATCTCTGAAGGGTACTCTTTGAAGTGCAGGCAGAGAGATTAAAACAGTCTGCAGAAAGTAGTGACCTGAAACGAGAAAAATATGCCCAGAATTGTGTGCCTGTATGTTCTTGTGTGTGTATGTGTGTGGGGGATGGGGTGAGATATAAAAAGACAAGTGGTTGCCCTTGGATAAGCGTGACAGTCTTGAAGAAGCCATGAAGCAAGATAAAGTTCTCATTTTGTACATTAAATCTGTTACTTTTAAGCTGACTGGTACTCTGATGTTCTGTATTTTCTGTATCAGCTGGAATCCAGTGTTAGAGTAAGACTAGCTTTGAGCCCTTAGCCACCATTAAAGAGATACATGTTAAACTTGTGCTGCAGGTACATGCCTGTAAAAGGAGAATGAGTCTTTAGGTAGTAGAGCATCTTCCCTGTAATTAAATCTTATTTTTTCCTTGTTAGAGTGCTTGTGCACAGAGCTCGAAAACTAGCTCAACAGTATTATCTTGTGTACCAAGAACCCATTCCCACAGCTCAGCTGGTACAGAGAGTAGCTTCTGTGATGCAAGAATATACTCAGTCAGGGTAAGTTGCGTTTTTTTACTTGAAATGTGCCATGAATTATCGGGGGAAGTCATTTTATTTTATTATTTCTTTTCCTTTTATTTATTTATTTATTTTTCTTTACCAGGCAGCACTGAAGAAATAAAATATTTACTTAAGGAAAAAATGTATTTTCTTGTTGCTCGTATAATAGCAGAAAGCAACTTCTAGATATTAAAAGTTGTTTTGCCAGTGATTAAAACACTTTATGGGCAGACAATCTTGCTACTTTTAATTTTTTTTTTCTTTGAGTCAGAGTCTCACTCTCACTCACACTGGAGTGCAATGGCGTGATCCCGGCTCACTGCAACCTCTGCCTCCTGGGCTCATGTGATTCTCATGCCTCAGCCTCCCAAGTAGCTGGCACTGCAAGCATGCATCACCATGCCCAGCTAGTTTTGTTTTGTATTTTTTTGGTAGAGAGGTGGTTTCATCATGTTGGCCAGGCTGGTTTCAAACTCCTGACCTGAAGTGCTCTGCCTGTCTTGGCCTTCCAAAGTGTTGAGACTGCACCTGGCTGCTACTTTCAAATTTATCTTTCTAACCAGAAATGATTGTAAGCATATAATGAAAGCAGCTTTTTGACATATTCATATTCCTTTCAATTCCAGTTTCTTAAGTTTGGGTGTGGATGAGATAGCATACAGGTAGTTGTTGATATGTAAACCTAGTAGAAAAGCTACATTAATTGAAAGTTATCATTTTGTTAGGACACTAACCCCAGTGTCTTAGGTGATACTCTGTTCAACCCAAAATTTTTTTTATTTCGCTACTGTTCCCTCACTACTGTAAAGAGAATTAGTTTTGAATGGATTCATTCAGAAAGGTGTTAAATACTTTTTCAGATACTTACAAGTCTAATTCAGTTTGCCTGATAATTTACTGTATTTGAGAGTACTGATAAGTTCTTGAGGATGACTTTAACACCATGAAAATGCCAAGTAATTTTCATTTTCCTGTCTGCAGTGGTGTTCGTCCATTTGGAGTTTCTTTACTTATTTGTGGTTGGAATGAAGGACGACCATATTTGTTTCAGTCAGATCCATCTGTAAGTATCATTAGGTATATTTGAGGAATTTGTTAAAAGTGCTCTTTGAATATCTAACAGAAATAGAAACCATAAAAACTTTACAATTTAGCAGTATTTTCTTCTTTTTCACTTGGGCTTTAGAAAGTATGAAGTCGTGCATTTTTGTGTATATATTTAAAATTTTGGTAATTTGGTCTTCTGACAAGGAAGCTGTGTGAGTTCTACCCTCTTTTCTTCTGCCATGTTCATTAACTTCATACATGTGGGTGATTTGTTGAAATAGTTGTTATCAAATGTGTTTAAACCTGTTACTTTGGGAAATACTGCAATTGAAGATACGGATCTGGAGAACAGTGTTGTACTATTTGCCATCAGTTGAATCTTGGGGCTGACTTGAGTGACTCCTCCAGCAAAAACATTGATCTATCTTGAATCCAGTGTTTTGCAAAAATGATTGTGTAATTGGTACCTTGGGTGAGTTGTCTGCTGTAATGCAGAAGATTGGTATCTGAGTAGAAGGTGTTTGTAAAGGATAGTACTACTCCACATCTGTCCTATTTGCTATGAGAACCTTAAGACAAAATTCAAGATTAAGAAATGATCTTTCATGTTTTATGACTTATTAGATAATATAGTTCACTCAATGCAAACCTTATGATCTACTCTTATAACCTGAGATGGCAAAAGAGAAATATTTTGGTTGTTACTTAAATTAGAAAAATAAGTATTTTGGAAACTTCGATAGTGTTGTTACTCCATCTCTGAGCTTCCAAAGCTAAATGACAAGCCCTCTTACCTTCCTTTTCAGAAGGTAGCAGAAGCCACCATTTCTGGAATCCCGATTTCATCTTTTGTCCTATTTTCCCCTGTTGTATCTAAAAAAACAATTTATCATTTAAAACATATTGGATTATGTTTCTTTTGGTATTTTTTCTAAGTGCATATGTATATTTTTCAACAGACGAGGCCATGACACGTGATATATTGCCACTTGTATTTCACCCTCATATTACAAAATATCAGCTTTGAATATTTTTAGACACTCTTTTTAAATTATTCACTAATGATCAAGAGTTGATTGCCATTTTTCAGATTTATATGATAGATTTTTAAATCCCTTCAGTCTATTAAGCTAAAATATTACTCTCATTTGCTTTAACTTCAGTTTCTTTGAACTGGCTTTTTTACATAGTTTTTGTACACTGAATTGCATCATCACCAACTCATCAGTTTGATGAGTTTTGATATATGTAAATGCCTGAAGAAACCATCACTACAATCAGGATATCAGAAATTTCCAGAACCAGCTGGGCACAGTGGCTCATGCCTGTAATCTCAGCACTTTGGGAGGCTGAGGTGGGTGGATTGCCTGAGATCAGGAGTTTGAGGCCAGCCGAGCCAACATAGTGAAACCCCATCTCTACTGAAAATACAAAAAATTAGCTGGGCATGGTGGCAGGTGCCTGTAATCGCAGCTACTAGGAAGGCTGAGGCAGGAGAATAGCTTGAACCTGGGAGGCAGAGGTTGCAGTGAGCCGGGATTGCGCCATTGCACTCCAGCCTGGGGAATAAGAGCAAAGCTCCGTCTGGGGGTGGGGGGGGAAAGAAAGGAAAAAAAAAAAAGAAATTTTAGAACTTCCAAAAGTTTCTTCATGCCTCTTTGGTTTCCATCCTTCTAGCCTTCTTAAAAAATAACCTATTCTGTGGTGTTTTTCATTCTAACAATATTCTGTTACCTTCAAAGTTAGAACAATTAATAAAGCTAAAAGTTAAATGGCAGGGCAATATAATTACATTAGTGTTTTAAAATATGGCTCTTTACTCTTTCCTTCCTGATTAGGGAGCATACTTTGCCTGGAAAGCTACAGCAATGGGAAAGAACTATGTAAATGGGAAGACTTTCCTTGAGAAAAGGTAGGCTTACTCACCCTAACTACATTCATTAGAAAACTCACTTGATGGTTTTTGGTGATCTTTAATTAATTTCATAGGACAAAAGACATTTGCTGTATTACTCTGTATATGAATCTAGTTGCAGATAAACAAAAAACTTCGATCCCTCCTAGGTTCCTAGCCTTCAGTATATTAAGTAGTAATTAATATTCATTTCCTAAGGAGTTCTCTTTCTACATTCTATGGTTTCCTAAAATTTTTTTTTTTTTTTTTACTTCACTTTTCCTGCCATTTCAGGAGGGAAAAAAAAGAACATTGAATCTGGAATAAAAAATTTGGGGTGAAAAATTTTTTAATGATTTAATGATAACAGTTTACATTATGACAGTAAAAAAGAATTGTGAAAGCAAATGCCTGGAGTTGAAGGTATATTAAATATTTGATGTATGTGCTTGATAAAAAGTGAAACACTATGTAATAATCTGCTGTCAGTGCCCAAGCACAAACTGCTGTCACTTATTTCCAGCTATATTCTAGTCTTAGTGTTGTAATAGTCCTTCAAACCTCTCCAAGCTTTTGAAGAGGAAACTGTTTTATTTCTTGATATGTAATAGTTGCGCATATCTTTGCAGTACATGTGATATTTTGATACCTGTATAGAGTGACTTTTCTTTGTGTTGGGAACATTGCAAATCTTCTAGCTATTCTGAAATACACAGTAAATTGTTAACGATCATTTCTTGACTGCACTATTGGACACCAGAACTTATTCCTTTTATCTGATTGTATTTTTATAACCCTTAACCAACTTTCATCATTTCTTCTTCCTCCTGCCTTCCCAGCCTCCAGTAACCTCTGTGCTACTCTCTGCCTCCATGAGATCCACCCTAGCCCCCACATATGAGTGAGAACATGCATTATTCATCTTTCTGTGTCTGGCTTATTTTACTTAACATAATGACCTCCAGCTCCACCCTGTTGCTGCAGATGACAGGATTTTTTTATGGCTGAATAATAATAAAAAATTTTGTAACTCCGTTTAACAGATGAACCTTCACAGTACATTTTTCATATAATGCTAAGGTTATTAAAAATCTTAGGCCTGGTTTTAAATGGTAAATCTTAGGCTCTTAAAGCACTTTTTCTTTTACATATTAACGAGTCTTCTAAAGGTTACACATTGTTATTACATTTTATGTTTTGTTTTGTTTTTGTTTTAGAGGCATTATATTTAGACAACTAAAAACAATTAGATGTTCAAAAGCAGTGTACAATGAAAATTAAACCAGTTACTTTATCATATATTCCTTCTTTACAACAAAAGCAAAAAACAGCAATAACAACAAAGACATTCTGCTTTAAGGGAAAAATCAGACGAATACGCAAAATATATTTTTCTTCTCCGCAATGACATAAATAGCTGCAAGAACTCTAATTGCGGTAAGAGAAGCCAGATGTTGTCTTGCACATATTCATTAAAAAGATAACAGGCCATTGTACTACAGGAGGATAGCTCAGCCTCCCTCATCTGATGCTCTTGAGATTTCACTTACAGGTAATACCAACTTAGTTATTCCAGCACTGGAGCTAATTCATATTCCCCATTATTTACTGCTGCTTTTGCCTTAAGCAGAGAGTAACTCTGGAAGGCTGATGCTTTCCTCTGCTTGTTCGTTCTAGTCCATAGGTTGTATACTATCTGTGGCACATGCTTGATGCTCAGGCCTTAACTTGAGGAGTTGAAGAGTAGATAGAATCTGAATTCTCCAAAGCAGTTTCTTCCAGCTCCTCTTCTTGTCTCTGGAAAACCAATCCTAGGCTTCGCCAGCTCACCACTATCTTCTTCAGGAAGTACACATTTCCAAAGGCCATATGTTTCTCCTACCACAGTTTGCCAGTCTCATCGTTTGGAAACACTGGCATAGAGTTCTCCCATCAGGGCTAAATCTCACATAGTGAATAGGACAGGAGTGTCCTTTGTTGGATTCTAATTCTTCTCCACTGTTACCATCGTACTTACAGGTTTAAAATCTTCACCACCTGCAATAAGAAATGTTTTTCTCAGAATGAAGAGACAGAGAGTTAATGGTTTCAGGAGCTTGAAAGGATTTAATTGGTTCCAAATTTATTGCACTATCAAAAACAATGGGTCAGCCATAAGTTATTACCAAAATCTTTCTCAGGAATAGATTCTATACTACTGGGAGGCATATTAAAATTTAGAGATTTTACTTCTGTCATAATAGTGTGATCCCAAAGTCAAACTGTTGTCATCAGAAGAAAGAATCCATTTATCCTCACTGTACCATAGGGCCTTTTGTATACCAGAGCTGTGGTCACTAATTTCCTCAGGTTCTGCTTCAGGTTTGTTCAAATCATATGTGTAACAGTTTACCCTGTCCCCTGGTTGACAAATAATTACTATGCTACATGAAATCCATAGTCTTGACAATGTGTTTATGAGCCAGGGTCATCAGTTCATCTCCTGGGACAGCATCCCACACTTTGGCTATGAAATCTGTAGCTGCAGTGGCTGCTTTTGTGGCATCCTTATTCAGTGTTGCACCCCAAACAGCATCTTTATGACCCAAAAATGTTCCAGTCCAGTCACCTGTATCTCCCTGGCATAGCATAGGTTTACCATCTTTGCGAGCACTGATTAAGAAGTACTGGTAAGGCTGGCCAGGCGCAGTGGCTCATGCCTACAATATCAGAACTTTGGGAGGCCAAGGTGGGTGGATCATGAGGTTAGAAGTTCAAGATCAGCCTAGCCAACGAGATGAAATCCCGTCTCTCCTAAAAATGCAGAAATTAGCTGGGCGTGGTGTTACGTGCATGTAATCCCAGATATTTGGGAGGCTGAAGGAGGAGAATCACTTGAACTCAGGAGGCAGAGGTTGCAGAGCCAAGATTGCGCCACTACACCCCAGCCTGAGAGACAGAGCAAGACTCTGCCTCAGAAAAAAAAAAAAAAAAAGCCTATAAGGCATGATGCCACTGAAGGCCAAGTCAGCCACAGGCCATGGGTGGCCAGAACAGGTGAGCAGCATCAGTCTTGTTGCTATGGCCATAGCAAACCCAGTGATTGGGCTGTTGGGCTGAGGCTCATCCTTCTTTCCTCTGTGACTTGGGCTCCTCCAGGCCTTATCCTGACTCTGCGACTCAGCCAGGAAACGAGGAAAGGTGGCTAGGGACAGGCCAGGGAATCTGCAAAGGGCAAGCAAAAGTTGACGAGGAATGACTGAAGAACTGGCCCAGCCACTATTTGCACTGTCCACACTGGTATCACCAGGAAGCGACACATTATGTTTTAGCTTATAAGAAAAAGATGAGATTTTAGCAAAGGTTTGATTTTTCTGTGTTTTAAAAATTATACCGCTACCGCATCCTGATTATGTTAAAATATTTATACTTAAGTTTCCTAAAATAAACTCATTTTAGGGCCATACTCTTCATGATGTTGAGAATTGAGCACCAACTATTGTCAGTTTTTTATCTGGGACAGCAATCTCAAGGAGGTGACTACAAGTAAATGTGTAATTTAGTATTTTTAAGATTTTTAGAGTTTTAAAAACTTAATGTTGTTGCTGTTGTTGTATTTAAAGAATCATACAGAATATAAACAATGTTATAACTTTTTAAATTCTTCAGATACAATGAAGATCTGGAACTTGAAGATGCCATTCATACAGCCATCTTAACCCTAAAGGTTAGCTCAATAGTTAGTTAACAACTGGATTTATAATGCTTTTATAATTAACCACTTAGAAAATTGACCCTTTTTCCTCCCTCCTCAATAGGAAAGCTTTGAAGGGCAAATGACAGAGGATAACATAGAAGTTGGAATCTGCAATGAAGCTGGATTTAGGAGGCTTACTCCAACTGAAGTTAAGGATTACTTGGCTGCCATAGCGTAACAGTGAAGTGACTGAAAAATCGAGAATTTCAGATAATCTGTCTACTTAAACATGTTTAAAGTATGTTTTGTTTTGCAGACTTTTTGCATACTTATTTCTACTTGGTTTAAATCGACTGTTTTTAAAATGACTTATAAATCCTAATAAACTGCTAAACTCACCTCCCAGCCTTTTAGGAGTTGCTAAAATTTTAACAGTTATTTCCTGCTTTTTTATCATAATTGATTTCTGAAGACCACATTGCAAAGCAGAATGATGAAATCACTTTTTTTAGTTGTCAGCCAGTTTGGGTTAAGTCAAATCTTAACTGCCCTCTTCACTACCAGATGTTGCTTGTGTTTCCATAAAGCAAAATGCTGATTTTGGTAAAAACATCACTGTTTCTAGAGCTGGAAGGATCTGCCGACTTTCACGGATTCATGGGACAAGAAAAGCGTAGGTGCTTTTAGGTACCTATCATTAGGTAATGATCAGTGAAATCCTAGGGTGCTCTATGAGATTGTATTGGGGCTATGAAGAGTGGTAAGCCAAGTAGGTCTCCATGGGAGATATATTATGTAAGTAAATAAACTGGTTTGCTGGTTCCTGTCAGTGTCTCCATCACAAGTAGCTAAATGTTTTAAAGGAACCCCTTAGATTTTGTTAGACTTTTTAACAAGGATGAGCATAAGTGTTTGAAATAAAACGTTAATACTCAAGTGTCAAAACTGTGGCTTAAGGCTCTTGTTAATTCATTAATCTCAGTATCATCAGTACCTTCACTATAATGAAAGTTATAATTATCTGAACTCTCATGTGAAGGCAGTGCTTAGTTTTTTGTTTTTTTAAGGTATCTTAGGATAAAAAATCATTAATCTGGTTTATAGAAAATAAGGAGAGTTTATAAGCACAATCATTCTTACCAGCGTGAAAGTATAGTGGGCAATTCCGTGATTTAAATGTAGCTCAAAAGATTCTAAGATTTAGTTTAGGGGAAAAGAACCTTACTTTGGAGATTTTTGTCAGGATCACCAGTTCTGTTACCTACTGTCACTGTAATACCCATATCTTGTTTTGGGTGACAAAAGCATTATAGGAAATGAAAGATGGTAACTCTGGCTTCCTGTTTCAAGAGGTTTATCTTGGCCTCATCTAATAATCTTTTGTAGGCTCTTGATATATTTTGACTTTAGCACACTAGAAAGGACCTAGTAGCAAAAAGGAATGACCTCTGAAGTCAAGTCTCAACTCTCCTACTTACTGGCTGAGTGACGGTGGAGGCAATCTCAGGGTTGGTTTGGTTTTTTTGAGACAGCCTTGCCGTGTCACCCAGATGGGAGTGCAGTGGTGTGATCTTGGCTCACTTCAGCCTCATCCACCCCGGCTTAGGTGATCCATCCTTTTACTTCAGCCCCCCGAGTAGCTGGGACTACAGGTTTGTACCACTGCGTCTGGCTAATATTTGTATTTTTAGTAGACATGGGGTTTCACCATGTTGCCCAGACTGGTCTCCACCTCCTAGGCTCAAGCTATTTACATGCCTCTGCCTCTGAAAGTACTGGGATTACAGGCATGAACCTCTGTGTACAACCTTATCTCAGGGTTTTCTAAGGACTGAATTTGATAACGCAAATTAAGGCCTGGCATGGTTAATAGTTAAGTACTTGTTTAGCTGCCATTAAATTTGTATAGTCGTTCTGTAATGTCCAGTATCAAAAGACCAAAGGAATGTCAAAATTCTACAAAGAAGGGAAAATTAAAGGCATGTAATATTTAAGATTTAAGGAAAACTCATGTAGGTTTTTATTGTGTGCCAGCAGAATTAGTCCTAAAGAATAAAGGGAGGAAAAATCAGCTGAATCAGATTTGATCCAGGCTCTGTTTTCTGCCTCTTGCCCTCAATAAATGCAATGCCCAGTTCCAGTTGAAGCTGCCTACAACACTTCTCCCTCTGTTCTGTTTATTTTTTCCATGGACCTTAAAATTAAGTTGTTCCTTTTTGTTCTAGTTCTTGGGAAAGAGTTCTTTGATGTAGCAACCCACTGCATCCCTAAACATTCCAAAACTCTTGAACGATTTCCAGCCTGTAGATTTTGGCTTAAGTGTCATAATGTTCCTAATGTTCATAGCCTCTCCCTTCTTTTGGTTCATTTTGTATCTTTTCATTTTTGTGGTTTTCACCCTTAAAACATTTAACTCCATTTGTTCTACTTCTTCCCAGTTCCTTACTGAACCATGAATTTAAATTTGCAAAGCAATTGTTAGCAATGAAACATGGAGATGTTTAAAATTCACATACACGGGGACAGGAGGCAGTTGAAAGGGGGAATAAAGAAGACTAATACAGAGCTTTATAATTATTGAGTGCTGATACACTCAAGCATCCCTGTGGGGGAGGAAAAAAAGCAACCCAACCTTGGTAATTACCTTGCACAGCCTCTCAGGCATCAAGTAGGTGATAAGGGAACATTGAAGGTTTTTTTTTTTTTTTTTTTTT